GGGTAGGAGACTAATGAGAATGGAACCAAGACAAGGATTAAAGTGCTGACACTTTATTTGGGGAATCTAAGCCCAAGGATTTAAGGTGAAGGAAAAAAATAAGGTGGGAAAAGCTGTAATGCAATATGATATATTACCTTGGGAGGCAATTTATTTCCCTGGCTCCCTCTTTTCTTCCTCTTCCCACTAGTGGAGGTTCACTCCATGGAGAAGTGACTAACACATATTTCCAGATTGTGCTATCTAGCCCTTAGCTCCTTCTCAAGAAGCCAGAACCTCACATCCCACCATGTGGCATTCCATCCGTGTCTTGAAGTGGAGGAGCAGCTCAACATAGTTAGAACCAAGGCCAAGCAGGTCCATAACTTCAGCTTAGACTCCAGCTCGGTGGCTAGGCAAGGATACCATCAATGATGAGAGCAGAGCAGTTCAAAAGACAGGCAGTTCCTTCAGAGAGAAAAAAAAAGGAAGGGAAGCTAAAAGGATATACAAGGTTGTTTCCAGGTCTTGGAAATCATGAAACAGACATAGGTCTTGACTAAAGAGTGGCAGAGGTGACATTACAAATTAGTGAGGAAAGGATGGCACTGTATAATAAATAATGCCAGGCCAGTTGGCTAACCATTAGGAGTGATAAAATTAAAATGAGTCCCTACATTATACCATACAACAAATTACTGCTCTGGATCAAAGACTTGTTAAATATGAAAGCAAAAACTTGTGGGATAAAAATACAGGAGTGCCTTTTTGACTTTTGTGTAGGAGACAGTTTCTAAAACAAGACCCAAATAGCACAGACCATAAAGGGAGAAGAGTGATAAATTTGGCTATCTTAAAGTTTAGAAACAACAACAAAAAAACTTTAGTAACCCTAAGCAAACTGAAAACACCAGACTGTGAGAAGATATTTAAAATGCATAAAACCAGCAAAAGGTAAATATTTATAATACTAAAAATAAAACTGGTACAAATCAATAGGGACAATATAAACAACCAAGTTGAAAAATTAGTCTAATTTTGTGAGTAGATATCTCACACAAAAATAATCCCATGACCAAGAAACATGAAAAGCTGCATTTTAAATAGTGTTAGAAGTGCAAATTAAAAGATACTATTGCACACCCAGTAATTGACAAGAATGATAAAGTCTGCTGATAAAGATGCAGAGAAATATGAACTTATATGTAGACACACTCAAAATCTATGTTTTTAAATGCTCTTTAGATTATTAAATTCCAAGAGAGGCAGAGAAATGTCTGTCCCTAAAATTTCACTCTCCCACGAATCTTAGCTCTTCTCTACTGGGTTCTACTTTCAGCTTCATCCTGAGCGTTTGGCCTTTGTTGCCCAGGGTCACTTTTGCTACCATCACTGTAGGTTGTTTCTTACACTTAGTTTGTCCTTCATGGTTTTCTGTTAGTAATCTCTCATAGACCGAAAACTGCAATAAATAGCTTATTGGAATTTTATACATGACAAGTAAAGAGGCCCAAAATAAGCCTAAGGACTCTTCTGGTGGGTTAATGGAAAGATACATACACTTACATCATATCTGTTTTGTTATACGCCTTCAGGTGCCCTTTTTTTTTTCTTTCTGATTTTGGCATCTTTTTCCTATTTAAGGAAAAGTTGCTAAATAGATGAGGTGTAATAAACTTGAATATAATCTGATACTGTTTATTACAAATGCTGTATAAACTCAGGGCCTTCTAATGGTATACTCTAACTTGTCTCATCCTATATAATCCTATATAATAAAGAGGTAATACGCAAATTACCCCTCATGTCCTTACAAGATGGCTGCCTATGACCAGGCCAGCGGGGGGTTAGTGAGGGACGACCAAACGACTGAACAAGCAGGCTGCATGGGGCGACCAGGCCGGCAGGAGGGTTAGTGAGGGATGACCAAATGACTGAACAAGCAGGCTGCGTGGGGCGACCAGGCCGGCAGGAGGGTTAGTGAGGGATGACCAAATGACTGAACAAGCAGGCTGCGTGGGGCGACCAGGCCGGTGGGGGGGGGGACAGTTGGGGGTGACCAGGCCAGCAGGGGGGGCGACCAGGCGAGGGGGGTTAGTTGGGGGTGACCAGGCTGGCAGGGCAGGGGCAGTAAGGGGCAACCATGCCAACGGGGGGGCGGGGGTTTGCAGCTGGGGGCAACCAGGCTGGCAGGGGGGGCAGTTGGGGGTAATTAGGCTGGCGGGGGGGCAGTGAGGGGCGACTAGGCTGGTGGGGGGGCAATTGGGGGTGACCAGGCCGGCAGGGGGGGCAGTGAGAGGCGACTAGGCTGGTGGGGGGGCAATTGGGGGCAACCAAGCCGGCAGGGGGGGGCAGTTAGGGGCGATCAGGCAGGCAGGCAGGTGAGCGATTAGGAGCCAGTGGTCCAGGATTGTGAGAGCAATGTCCAACTGCAGGCAGTTGGACATCCCCTGAGGAGTCCCAGATTGGAGAGGACCCCCTGACACACACCGTGCATGAATTTTATGCACCGGGCCTCTAGTTAAATATAAAATAGTTGGAATAAAGAAGTTGAAGGTTAGCTTGTGAATTGGTGGGAGAATGTGTTTCCTTATAAAATAATTTGAGTAATTAATTTGTGACTTTTTATTAACCTATTTTAACCAGTAAATGTGATTATCTTTTTTAAAAACAGTTTTATTAAGATAATTCCTATACCATACAATTCACCCTTTTAGAGTGGACAGTTCAGTGACTTTAAGTGCATTCACAGATATGGATCCATCACCACAATTTGAACATTTTCATTATCCCCCAGAAGAAACCCTACACCCCTTAGCCATTACCCCTCCCCCAGATTTCCCAGCCTTAGGCAGCCACTAATCAATCTACTTTCTGTCTCTGTAGATTTGTTTATTGTGGACATTTAAATGTAAAATGAGCCATGTAATATATGACAATTAGCGACTGCTTTCTTTCACTTAATACAGTAGTACCCCCTTATCCACTGTTTCACTTTCCGCAGTTTCAGTTACCTGAGGTCAACCACAGTCCGAAAATATTAAATGAAAAATTCCAAACGTAAATAATTCATAAGTTTTAAATTGTACGATGTTCTGAGGGGCGTGATGAAATCTCTCATTGTCCTGCTCTGTCCCTTTGGGATGTGACTCATCCCTATGCCTAGCGTTTCCATGCTTTACACCCGCTCCTCACATTAGTCGCTTTTATAGCCGTCTTGGTTATCAGATTGACTGTTGGAGTATCACAGTGCTTGTGTCCAAGTTACCCTTACTAGTATTTTACTTAATGGCCCCAAAGCACAAGAGTAGTGATGCTAGCAATTCATATATGCCAATGAGAAGCCATCAAGTGCTCAATAAAGCACAGAAAAAATAATGATGTACCAAGATTACAAAGGTCTGAGGTAAGAATGAATCTTCTGCCCTGGCCGGTTTGGCTCAGTGGATAGAGCCTGCGGACTGAAGGGTCCCGGGTTTGATTCCGGTCAAGGGCACATGCCCAGGTTGCGGGCTCGATCCCCAGTGGGGGACATACAGGAGGCAGCCAATCATTGATTCTCTTTCATCATTGATGTTTCTCTCTCTCTCTTCCTCTCCCTTTCTCTTTGAAGTCAGTAAAAAAAAAAATTTTTTTTTTAAAAAAAGAATGAATCTTCTATTCGTGGAATTATAAAAAGGAAAAAGAAAAAGAAGGCCGTGCTAGTTTTGGTGTCCCACCTCAAACTGCAAAAGTTACAGCCATAGTGTGTGATGAGTGCTTAGTTAAGATGGAAAAGGCATTAAATTAAATGTGTGTGTGTAAGACATGAACAGAAAACATGTTCCGGCCCAGCCCTGCCGGCATGGCTCGGTGGTTGAGCGTCGACCTATGAATCAGGTCAGGAGATCACGGTTTCATTCTGGGTCAGGGCACATGCCCAGATTGTGGGCTCGATCCCCAATAGGGGGCGTGCAGGAGGCAGCTCATCAATGATTATTTCTCATCATTGATGTTTCTATCTCTCTCCCTCCTCCTTCCATTCTGAAATCAATAAAAAAAATTTTTTTAAATAAAAATAAAATGGGAATAATCTTTTAAAAAAGAAAACGTGTTCTGAATGATGGCAATGCATTGTGCCAGAAAGCATTGAGCCTATGAGAAGACTCCAGCAAGGGTCCCCGAAATGAGTAACCACATTCACATAACTTGTTATTACAGTATATTGTTATGATTGTTTTATTTTATTTTTGGTTATTGTTGTTAATCTCTTACTGTGTCTATAAATTAAGCTTTATCATAGGTATGTAGATATAGGGAAAAAACATAGTATGGGTTTGGTACTCTCGGTTTCCAGCATCTACTGGGGTCTTGGAACTTAATCCCTGTGGATAGTGGGAGACTACTGTGTAATGTTTCCCACATCAATAGCATGTATCAGTACTTCATTTCTTTTTATTACTGGCTGAATAATACTCCATTGAACATAAAATACCACATTTTATTTATGTATCCACAAATTAATGGGTATTTGCGTGTTTTCTATGTTTTGGTTATTGTGGATAATGTCACTGAGAACATGTGTAAACATAAGTTTTCATTTTTCTTAAGTATATATATATATATATATATATATATATATATATATATGAGTAGAGTTGCTGGGTCATAGAGTAAGTCTATTGTTAACTTATTGAAGATCTGCCAGACTGTTTTCCACAGCCACCAACAGTGTGTGAGAGTTCCAGTTTCTCCACATCCTCCCTCACAAACACTTGCTAGTATCCATCCTGTTAATTTAGCCATCCTAGTAGGTGTAAAGTGGTATCTCATTGCGATACTAGTTTTATGATTTCATGAGGCACATTTCAGGTCCCCCCCCCCCCCCAGATTTTCTCTTAATAAATAAGAAATGATGCTTTTAAGTTTGTGATAGAATTTTTTTTAATTGTTGATTCTTTTTTCCTAACAGGCTAAGGAAATTTTAACAAAGGAATCAAATGTGCAAGAGGTCCGTTGTCCTGTCACTGTCTGTGGAGATGTGCACGGTCAGTTCCATGATCTTATGGAACTCTTTAGAATTGGAGGCAAATCACCAGATACAAACTATCTGTTCATGGGCGACTATGTAGACAGAGGTTACTATTCAGTGGAGACTGTGACTCTTCTTGTGGCATTAAAGGTACGATTAATGAAGTTTAATTTTTTTTCAAGCTTTAAACCAACAAAAGGCAAAAATGTCAGTATTGCATATCATCTGTTCTGTGTAATCCATTCAGTTTATAACTCCTTAAATAATAGTTGATTTTACATCTTTTAAAAGAGAGATGAGAATACTACATTAGACCTCTCCTGCCTACTTCTGGTATATCATTCTCTTGGAGAATCCATAGCTGAAGTCTTGGAATCATTTTTTACTTAATCACTTATCCCTCATGTTTAGTCCATTAACAGGTCTTTATCTGTTATCCCCATGTCTTTCTGTTTTTATTGTCTCCATCCAATTTGTATCTTTATCACTTCACACTGTAATTATTGCAATAGCAATAATATTAGTAACTAATATTTCTGCCCCCAACATCTGACCCCTCCAAATTTTCCTTGCCCTTGCATATGCTGCCAGATTAAATCTCTTTTATTTAACAGTTTCGTCTTGTCACTTGCAAATTCTTTAGTGATTCCACGTTGCCTGTACACTCAAGCTCAAACGCCTTGCCCGGCCCTCTATAGTATAGTTTGAATTTGCCTGCCAGTAGTTGGTAGCATAAACATTTTGTGTCAAATCAAAGAATTTCAGTGTTCAGTCTGTCTCCATTTGTTTCCTTATCCAGTTTCTTCACAAGATTACTCTGATTTCTTACCCCTCCTGTCAAGACTCAACTCAAGTTCTTCTTCCATGAAGTCTTCAACCATTTTCGCCTCACTCCTTTCCTCTAAATGACCATGAAACCTACTGCCCCACCCCTTATTTATGTTGCATAGCCGTTTATTGCCTTGTGTTATTTAGTTCACATCCTCTTTAGTGAGGTTTTGAGGAGCAGAAGTCATGTATTATACTTGTGGCAACCTCACCTAACTTTAGCACTGAGTTTAATGCTGGACATATATGATGGATGCTTAGAAAATATGTATGAATGGAAGTACGTATTTGCAGCTTTTGGTTAATTTGGTTTACAGAATCGATGCTTTTCATAATTTATCAGACATATTCCTAACTAGTATACTATAAGGTCTGTCTCTATATTTTGTTATGGAAAAGACTATTAATACATTTGAAATCTTGCCTGGATTTGGTAAAGGCCTGTTTTTGTGTTTTTGTTGGCAAATACCATCTTCTCGTGGGAAATGGAAATTAGTCTATAGAGGAGTTTGTCTCAGGTCCAGATCTCTGCTCTTCATTATCCATTTAGCAGTAAGAAGTTACATTGTTCTGGGAAGACTTAGAAAACTAGTAATAAAGATGAAGGTATTTAAGACAGAATCAGAGACAAGTTTATTATAGTGATATAGGTATCAGTTAATAAGGATTCCAGTGAGGGTGGTATAAATAGTAATGAAGAACAGCTATCTGAAATATTTCATCATAATTTAATCAATAGGACCTGGTCATGAATGAGAATATTTTTTACTCTGAAAAGAATTTAACATTTAATTTACTAGCAGACAAAAGAGCCATTTAAAGAAGTAGGTCAGAGGTTAATATATTTAACATGACACTAATAAAAATATGATTTGTACCATGGGTTTTTTGTTTTGTTTTGTTTGCTTTTTCTCCAGGTGCGGTATCCAGAACGCATTACAATATTAAGAGGAAACCATGAAAGCCGGCAAATTACCCAAGTGTATGGCTTTTATGATGAGTGCCTGCGAAAGTATGGAAATGCCAATGTTTGGAAATATTTTACAGATCTGTTTGATTATCTTCCACTTACAGCTTTAGTAGATGGACAGGTGTGTATGTGTGTGCTTACATGGGGGGGCGGGGGGTAGAAGGTTGGGATGGGTTAAAAGTAGGGAAAGGTTTTCTCCTAGTTATTTAGGGTCTAGATTTATATGGCGTGTTTTTTCATCTCCTTGGCTTTTTCTGCCTCTTTCTCTTATACTCAATATTTCAGAACAGGGATTTGGATAAGTTACATGCACATGATCATGTTGTCAGATATGTGTTTAAATCTTTTGACCAGATAATATTCATTATTTAAAACTCAGCCCACCCGGCATGGCTCAGTGGTTGAGCATGGACCTATGAACCAAGAGGTCACAGTTTGATTCTATATATTTTTTTAAAAATTCATTTATTAAGGAGTAAAATAAAGTAGCATTAATTAGATAAAGAAACATATGCTGACTATACTTACCAAAACATCAGAAAGCATCTCATCAAAATCAGGAGAAAATGCCCTCTAAAGGGTTGTATTATAATTCTCTCTGATTCCAAATCTCTAGAGCAGGGGTGGGCAAACTTTTTGACTCGAGGGCTACAATGGGTTCTTAAACTGGACCGGAGGACTGGAACAAAAGCATGGATGGAGTGTTTGTGTGAACTAATATAAATTCAAAGTAAACATCATTACATAAAAAGGTACGGTCTTTTTTTTTTTAGTTTTATTCATTTCAAACGGGCCGGATCCAGCCCGCGGGCTGTAGTTTGCCCACGGCTGCTCTAGAGGCTGGACATGGGAATAGGTGTTTTACCCCCATAAAGATAAACAAAAAATTTCCACTAACTTGTATTATTTGATTTTGTTTCGGAAATTTTAGCCAATTCACTGAGCAATAAAAAGAATTAAAAGGTATAAACATTAAGAAGAAAATCAAAGAAAACTGAAGAACTTTTGAAACCAATAACAGGAATTTGTAGGGTCTTTATTATAAGAGAAGAAAATTTTATACATCAGAAAATGCAATGATGGGTCATATAGTGTTGGGATTTTAAAGAAAAAAGACAAAAAATATATTTAAATGTTAACAGCCCTCTCTCTTGTTTTTGTTTCATTTTTCATTGTATCTTACAAATTCTCCACAGTGAATATTTTAAAATATTATTTTGAAAAGAGCTATTAGGATTGACATTTGTAATTATTTACTTTCCATTACTTTTTAGCAATTAATAAATTTATTTTCTTTATAAATTCATAAACAGATTTTCTGCCTCCATGGTGGCCTCTCTCCATCCATTGATACACTGGATCATATAAGGGCCCTGGATCGTTTACAAGAAGTTCCACATGAGGTAAACTTACTTTAAATTAAAAGAAAATGAAACAACCACATTGTAGTAAAGCTTAATTAGTTAAATATGAGTGCTGATAATTTATAATAAGTACCTAATTTTTTTTGCCAGGGCCCGATGTGTGATCTGTTATGGTCAGATCCAGATGATCGTGGTGGATGGGGTATTTCACCACGTGGTGCTGGCTATACGTTTGGACAAGACATTTCTGAAACATTCAATCATGCCAATGGTCTCACACTGGTTTCTCGCGCTCACCAACTTGTAATGGAGGTATGTCCTTTTCCTACAGGATGGCGATCTTTGTTTCTGATAAATACGTATGTCTGTAATAAAGCCTTCATAACTTGGAATAGTAGGAACATTCCTCACCATTATCTAAGTGAAAGGAGGAAAACCTTGGCCTGCTTTAGCAAGTAAGGAAAGTACTAGTTTGCTAGAGCAAAACTGTAACTCACTTTGAAGTCAGAGTCCTCAAATGTGAGTATTTTAAAAATTGCTTTATTATTCAGTTTCTTTCTTCTTCCCCCCTTCCCTGCACACGTTACATTATTTTGACTGTTTTAATGTCAGTTGCAGACATGATGCTCATTTGCCCCCAAATTTCCGTGTGTATTTATAAAAATAAGGACTTTTGTCTTATATAACCACAGTATAGTTGTTACAGTCAATAAATTTGCATTGATCTAATATTTTTATCTAACCTAAACACTTTATTCAAATTTTAATTATCTCACTAATGGCTTTTAGTTGAATATGTATATCTAAAATCTAATTCAGGATGGGGCTGCATTCAGATTTTCTTTGTTTTATATAATCTTGACATTTTAAGTACAAGCAATTTTATTTTGTGTAAGTAGTTTTCATTTGTGATTTACCTGATGCTTCCTTATGGTTATAGATTCAGGATATGCATTTTGGTGGGTATGCCACATACTGATGTGTTCTTTTCAGTGTATCATACAGCGGTAATGAAACTTATCCCAGTGCTGGTGGTTTTAACTTAGATCACTTAGTTAAGGTGATGCCTGCCAGATTTCTCTACTATGATGTTACTATTTTGTAAATACTAAAGGAATATAAATAGAATATAATACTTCCAAACCAGTAGGAGCAGCTTTAAAATGTAAGAGAAAACTTCACAAACCCAATAAAGCAAGAGGAGGAGTGAGAGTATGATAAAGAACCTCAATTCTTATGCTGAGGATAAATCTAATTATATCAGTAATCATAAACAATGTTAAATGGATGAAAATTTTTGTTAGAAGAGGAGACTCAAATTAGATAATCAAAATTCAGCTATTGGGATTTATGTAAAATACTAGAGGCCTGTTGCACAAAAAGATTCGTGCAATAGGCCTTCCCTTCCCCTGGCTGCCTGCACCGGTTTTCCTTCGGCACCGGGGACCCAGGCCTTCACTCCAGCCAGAGCCGCCTTCAAAGCCTTCGCTGCTCCGGCCGGAGCTGCCTTCAGTCTTCGCTCTGCCGCGCCGCCTACATATGCAAATTAACCGCCATCTTTTGTTGGCGGTTAATTTGCATATCTTGCTGATTAGCCAGTGGGAAGCGTAGTGAAGGTACGGTCAATTACACTGTTTGTCTATTATTAGATAGGATAATGATTAGAAGTAGAGGGATGGAAAATGGTTTATTGGTATATCAATTAGATAATTATCCAATATACAGCTAATCAGAATAGGTTCTAAGATAAAAAGTGTAATGAGAAATGAAAACAGGTTATTAGAGAAAACTGTCCCAGTTCTCTAGGAAGAAATAATTCTAAATTTTTTTTTTTTTTTAATATATTTTATTGATTTTTCACAGAGAGGACACTGTTTGTCTATTATTAGATAGGATAATGATTAGAAGTAGAGGGATGGAAAATGGTTTATTGGTCCCCTACTGGGGATGTGCCCGCAACCCAGGTACATGCCCTTGACCGGAATCGAACCTGGGACCTTAAATGAAAACAGGTTATTAGAGAAAACTGTCCCAGTTCTCTAGGAAGAAATAATTCTAAATTTTTAATTACTTATTTAATAGAGTCAAAATATATAAAGCAAAATTTGACATAATTTACAAGGAAACTCATATAGTGGGAGAAATTGAGTACACATCATAGCCAAGATTGCAAGCATAGATTAAGCCAGAACAGTGCATTTACTAAGCTCCATGTAACAATAAAACCCTGTTACCCAACAGTTGCATATTCATGCAGGTGCACAATATTGATGAAGGATACTATATAAAGTAAATTAGAAGACTGCATTTCCACAGAAAATACTTGTAATTTCTAAGTTTAACCTTCTCTGTGTTGAGATTATAATTTTATAGTGAAATACTGATTTTTTTTTTTTTTAATGCAGGGATACAATTGGTGTCATGATCGGAATGTGGTTACCATTTTCAGTGCACCCAATTACTGTTATCGTTGTGGGAACCAGGCTGCTATCATGGAATTAGATGACACTTTAAAATATTCCTTGTAAGTTACCTTAAACTTTAATTGTATATGATCACTTTTAGGAGGAAAATTGAAAATGTGACATAGGATTTCTGCTTCTGGGATAATGAAGATAGCAAACTATCTCCCCAATAAAAACAACTACTTAGCTAGAGAACATTATTTTAAACAGGTATTTCAAGTTTTTGGAAACTGTTCTAAGTATATACAACAGATAGAGAAGTACTTATTCTAGAAAATCTAAATCTGGGTAATAACAGCCAGAGTTTGTGGAATTTGAGCCACGACTCTTTCCCTAGTCTTGGATCACGTGTATGGAAACTGCGCTAGGCACTCTGCTCTTCATGGGTGTGGACAAAGAGATGGGGGCTTTTCCCCTTCCCTAGCTCCAGTTTCAGGGATATGGTTTCATCCTCTGGGGGGCATATGCCAGTATATCACACCTACCCCAGGCCTGGGTTTCAGACGCTCTATTCCGGAAGGTGCAGTCAAGCAAGCGAGATTCCCTTCCCCTCTCTAGCTCTTAGGATGGAAATTCCCTCCCGGCATGCATGGCAGGCAGTGTTATTTCCCAGCTCCTGCTCATAGAATAGGAGTGGCACTAGAAAGTAGGTGAAGGGTGATCACCAGGTACAAACTTCTAGTTATAAAGTAAATAAGTTATGAGGGTGTGTAGTGTACACCACAGTGACTAGTTAATACTGAACTATATATTTGAAAGTTGCTAGGAAAATAGATTTTCAAAGCTGTGATCACAAAAAAAAACCTTGTAACTGTGCACACTAGCTTCAGCAATATATAAACTAATGGGGGCAGGGGGAAAACAGCTCCAAAGCAACTGCATAGAAGTTCTGTTCAGGGTGAGAGGCAGCTCAAAAAGTTCCTCAGCTCTGCCTGAGGGAACTGATCTTACATAGAACTTCAAGCCTAAGTACTTTGTTGAACAATGAGTGTCATGGCAGAGACCAATTAAGAGGGCTCTCATCTCTCTCATAATATTAGTAGCATCAAGCAAAACAGCACAGCAAGGAGAAAAATAAGAGAAGAAAAATGAATAGAGGCTCAGAAATGTAGGGCACCTTTGAGCACACCAATATAAGTGTATGGGAGCTCTAGAAGGAGAGGAGAGAGAAAAGGGGACAGAAAGAATATTTGAAGAAATCATGGCTGAAAGCTTCTCATATTTGATGATAAGCATTAATTTACATACCCAAGCTCAACTAACTCTAACTTGGATAAATTTAAAGAAATCCGTAACCATTTATGTCATAGTTAAAATGCTGAAAGTCTAAAAGAAAAAATGTTGAAAGCTGTAAGAGAAAAATGACTTACTAAATAGGATAATCAGCTGACATTTCATCAGAAAGGCAATGGAACAATATATTCATTCAAAGTGCTGAAAATAAAAACTTAGCCAAGAATCTTACATCCAGCAAAATTTCAAAATGAATGCAAAAGAAAAATGTGCCCACATAAGCAAAATGGAGAAAATTCAATGCTAGCAGACCTGCCAAGAGGGTCTTCCTTCAGGCTGAAGGTGAATGACACCAGAAAGTAAATCAATGTCTGCGCACGCACACAGTGGCAATTGTAAAAGCACGATTGCAACTTTCTTAACTGATTTAAAACCAGTTGCATTACACAATATGGACACATTTTGTGAAGTATAGTTGAACTTATAGGAAATGTGATATATACAAGTGTAGTATATTTGACAGTAACAGTACATAGAAGTGACACTACATGGTAACTTGAATCCTAAGGAAGAACATGAAGAAAATAAAAATAAGGTTAATATAACAAAATCTATAAATATATACTTGTTCTCCTTTCTCTTGCAACTTTAATGTCATAATATGTAAAATTATAAGTATTTGGGGATCTGTAACATATACAGATATACTATCTATATAACATCAGTAGCAATAAAAGGGAGGAGAATAGAAAGGAGTTATATAGGAGTAAACTTCTATAAGGCACTACAATTAGGTTAGTATAAATCTGTAGTAGTTTTATGTTGTGTATTGTAAGCTCTAGAGCAACCACTAATAAAATAAGAAAAACAATTGTAGCCCAGCCAGTGTGGTTCAGTTGGTTGAGCATCATCCATGCACCAAGAGGTCACTGGTTCAATTCCCAGTCAGGGCACATGCCCAGGTGGTGAGCTCGATCCCAAGTACGGGGCATGCGGGAGACAAGCCAATCAATGATTCTCTCTTATCGATATTTCTCTCCTTCTCCATTCCTCTCTCTATAAAATCAATTAAAACATATTAAAAAATGAAAAATAATTGTAAAGTTATTAAAGAAATTTAAGTGGTATACTAAAAAATATCGTTTTAATAAAGCAGTTAAAGCAGGAACCAAGAAACAAAGAATACACATTTTTAAAATAGGTATAAATTCTGTCATAGCAATAATATTAAATGTGAACAGTTTAAGCAATGCAATCAAAAGGCAGAGATTATTAGGCCATTGTTGTTTTTTAAGATAGTTTTACGATGTCTACAGGAAACAACTTACATTCAGAAATACAATACAGTTACTTCTATAAGTAGGTAAGAAGTAAAATGGTAGAAAAAAATTCACCATGCAAATAGCAACCACAAGAACACTGGATACACAAATGTCAGATTTCAAAAAAATGAGAAAAATAGATTTCAAAACAAAAATTATTATTAGACACGAAGAAGGACATTTCATAATGATAAAAGAATCACACCACCAGGAAGATATATCAACTATAAACATGCACTCAACAGCAGAGCCTTAGAATATATTGAGCAAAACTAACAGAATCGAAGGAAGACCTAGACAATTCAACAACAATCATTGGAGACTTTATTATACCACTTTCAATAATAAAACTAGGCAGATCAATAACAGAAGGAAAACTGGAAAATGTATAAATGTGTGAAAATTAACACTTTTAAATAACCTAGTGGGTCAAAGAAGAAATCACAAGAGAAATTAGAAAAATTTGAGATGAATGAAAGTGAAAACAGAATGTGCGTAAACTTAGGGGATACAGTGAAAACAGTGTTTATAAGAAAATTTATAGTTGTAAAGCCTATATTACAAATCAAGGAAGATCTCAAATCAAAAACCTAACTTTACACATTAAGGATCTGGAAAAAGAAAAGCAAATTAAACTCAGTGCAAGGAAAGTTTAGTGTGAAAATAAAATGAAATACTATGAAAACAGAAAATCAGCTAAACCAAAAGTTGATTATTTTCAACAAAAATGTTGATTATTTTTAACAAGAAAACTGGACTGACCAAGAAAAGAGGAGTGAAGATGCATTATCAAAGTTACCTTACTGAAATAAAAGGCATTATAAGGGGATACAGTAACTGTATAACAATACAATTAGGTAACTTGAAAAATTTCTAGAAACTACCAAAACTGACTCAATTAAAAAGAGTATTTGAATAGACCTGTAACAAGAGAAGAAATTTAAATTCATAATTTTAATACTTCCTACAAATAAAAGCCCAGGCCCAATTGCCTTCTTTGGGGAACTGACCAAATATTTAAAAAGGAATTAACACCAGTCCACAAAACCTTCAAAAAACAGAAGAGAGGCATTACTTCCCAACTCATTCTTTGAGGCCTGTGTAACCCTAATACCAGAACCGAAGACATTTTAAGGAAACTACAGATGGATACTGTTAATGCATTTAGATATAAATGTGTGCAACCAAATAACAAACTGAATCCAGCAATGTGTAATCCATGATGTAAAAAGGATTACACATTATGGCCAAGTGGAATTTATCCCAGGAATGCAAAGTTGGTTCAAAACGTAAAATTAATGTGATAAACTATATGAATAGAATAAAGGACAAAAAACACATGATCATCCCAGTAAAGCCAAACCCCAGCACCCATCTATCTATATAAAAGCCTAAGCGACCAGCTGGTAGCTATGATGCACAATGACCACCAGGGGGCAGACGCTCAATGCAGGAGCTGCGGAGCAACAGCAACTTTGCAGCGTGCCCTCTCACACTCCGGGACCCCTTGGGGGATGTCGGACTACCGGTTTTGGCCCGATCCCCATAGGCTAGGCCGAGGGACCCCACTGGTGCACGAATGAACCTGGTCCTCTAGTTCATAATAAAAATAATCAAATAAGGGAACTTCCTTATCCTGATAAAGGGCATCTACAAAAAAACACGTAACATTTTTTTAAATATACTTTTTAATTGATTTCAGAGAGGAAGGAATAGGGAGAGATAGAAACATCAATGATGAGAGAGAATCATTGATCAGCTGCCTCTTGCACGCTCTTACTGCAAATTGAGCCTGCAACGCAGGCATGTGCCCTGACCTAGAATCAAACCGTGACCTCCTGGTTCATAGGTCAACACTCAACCACTGAGCCATGCTGGCCGGGCTAACATTATTCTTAATAGTAAAAGGCTAAATACTTCTCCCTAAAGTCTAGCATAAAACCAGCAAGTCTGCTCTTGGCACTTCTATTTAACTGATAATAATACTGCAAACGTTTTGTGCCAGACACCGAATTGGACATTTCATCTGCTTAAATTTTCGCCATAGCTCTGTGAGGTAGTTTCATGGAGAACACCGGCAGTGACTTGTCCATTCCCATCATAACATTGATTTGTTTATTTACAAATTCAAATCCTTTAACTATTGGGTGTTTGTTTTTGCCATTTATAGCCTTCAGTTTGACCCAGCACCTCGTCGTGGAGAGCCTCACGTCACCCGGCGCACCCCAGACTACTTCCTTTAAGTCCCTCCTGGGAAAATCCGCCTTTGTATGTGGAAGTATCCTGGCTTTTTAAATATATATATATATTTAGAAAAAAAAAAACACAAGCAACAGTAATCTAAGTGTATCTGTAACAAATTGGGATCTATCTTGGCATTAAACTATATCATGGACCAAAATGTGCCATACTAATGACGAGCATTTAGCACAATGACGAGCATTGACTGAAATTTAGTACAGTTCTAGATCAGTCAGTCTTAACAGTTTGCCTGCTGTATTTGTAGTAACCAGTTTTCCTCTGGACTGTTCAAGCAAAAAACGTAACTAACCCCTTTATCTCCTTTTGCACTTCTTTGGAAATTTTAGTTATAGTGTTTAACTGGCATGGATTAATAGAGTTGGAGTCTTATTTCTAAGAAAAATTCACAAGCTAACTTCCTCTTAATCCATTACCCTTTATTTTATTAAAATGTATAATTAACTGAAGAAAAGATTCTTTTTGGGAGTATGTTGTCATAACATTGAAAGAGATTTCCCCTTCATTTAAACAGAATTACTGTTTTATGTTGGTCTGCATATTTCTGTATATTTGTCATGACATTGCTTGCATCCTATTTGGTGTTCTGAGCAAATAAACTTTTCATTTTAAACAAAATCATTGGTTTATTGTGGTATACTTGAAATGAAAGTTTTATTTTGAAATTTGATATAAAATCTCATAGTGAACAATTGTGTTGAGGCAATTTGAGTTAACGTTCTTTGTATAGGGCTTATTTTCATAAGAAAAAAATCAAGTAGTACCTGATATCTTTTAGACTATAAAAAAACCTTTTTTCATTAGATAATTTGTGTTAATGTCTTCATATGGATTGTATGCTAAAACTGTAGAATATTATATAGCTAGGAAGAATCTTTTATTTATTTTTCTCTTCTTCTTCAGTCCTCACCTGAGGATATGCCTCTCTCTGATTTCAGAGAAAGGGGAAGAGAGAGAAACTTCGGTGTGCAAGAGACATCAATCGTTTGCCTCCTGGAACTCAGGCACATGCCTTGAATGGAAATTCACTGAAAATGGATCATAGACTTAAGCATAAGACCTAATACAAGCTTTTATAAGGAAACACAGACCCCTTTGAGACCTTGGGTTAGGCAAAGATTTCTTAAATAACCCAAGTAGTGCTCTTTATGTCTGTATAGATTCATATTTCCTCCTGGTTGAATTTTCTTCTGCCTTAAGACTTGTTTATTATAGTACAAGTCTGCTGGTGATGAATTTCTTCAACTTTTGTATGTCTTAAGTGTTTCATGTTCATTTTTGAAAGATATTTTTACAATAGAAGTCTGTTGTTACTCAGAGACTCGGAGCCCATAGACCTCAAGCTGTACTAATGATGGACTGGCTGCTGTTACCTTGTGTTTAGGGTAGGGGTGGAGATGCTAGGTTTTTCTGTGTGCCTGCTCTGCTCTCAGCTTTCCATTGGCCTTGCTTACCTGTATCAGAGAGAGGGCCTTACTCCTGCTCTTACACTTCCCCGGTTGTAGACTGCGATTGTTACTCCCCAGTAATAGCGAACATGTTACCTGAACCTGCTCCTCCACCAGGAGTAGAGAATATTTGCTTCTACCCTTCCCCCAGCAGCACTAAGTGTTTGCCTATGTCCCGGGGGAGGAGGATGGGTTTTGCTTTTACTGCTTCTCTAGAAACATATTTGCCAATGTCCTGTGACCATAGTATTTGGTGTACTGCCCCCTGTGGGTTACGACTTTGGTTTTGTAGAGAAGGATACCAAGGAGCTGGTGGGGCTTTGAGTTTATTCCTCCATAGCCGCCAATCACCTCCTCGTTTGCATTGAGGTGGTTTTGTCTTCTCCAGTCATCTGCACTGCTCTCACTCCTCATGGACACCAGCTGAAGGCCGGTGGGAGAAGAGCTTTCAGGTGAGTGGGAACTCTGTGTGTGTCTGAGACCCGCAGCCCGGACCGGCTTCATGGTATGACCTGTGCACACACGGCCCCACACTTACAACGCTGTGCTGTCACTGTCTTGAATTCTTCATTTATTTATTTTTTTAAAATATATTTTATTGATATTTTTACAGAGAAGAAGGGAGAGAGATAGAGAGTTAGAAACATCGATGAGGGAGATCGAGCAGCTGCCTCCTGCACACTCCCCACTGGGGATGTGCCCGAAACCAAGGTACATGCCCTTGACCGGAATCGAACCTGGGACCCTTCAGTCCGCAGGCCGACGCTCTATCCACTGAGCCAAACCGGTTCAGCTTCATTTATTTTTTTTTAAATATATTTTTATTGATTTCAGAGAGGAAGGGAGAGAGACCTAGAAACATCAATATTGAATCATTGATTGGCTGCCACCTGCACGCCCTCCACTGGGGATCAAGCACGCAATTCGAGCATGCGTCCTGACTGGGAATCGAACCCTGACCTGGTTCATAGGTCTACGCTCAACCACTGAGCCACACATGAATTCTTCATTTTTGAGTAAGGTGTCCTGCCTGCATTTTCATTTTGACCCATATATTAAATAGCCAGTCTTGTTCCAAAGTGATGCAGTAGCCCATGCTTGGCCATTAAAAATGTTAAAATCTAATTTCCTCATGTGCTTATAGAGCAGCCACCTTTTCTCCCAAGCCCTGCCAAAAGTGAGACTTCTATCTCTCTCCGAGTGCTTTGCAGCCTCCACCACCTAAGGCAATGGTTCTCAGCACCTTAGCTGCACATTAGAATCACCTGGGAATCTTTTTAAAATCCTGATTTCTGGGCCTCATCCTCCGGAAATTCTGTTTCTTTGTTACTAATGTTGTGGCCCCACCCCATAACAAAGAAACAGAATTTCCTGAGGATGAGGCCCAGAAATCAGGATTTTAAAGAGATTCCCAGGTGATTCTAATGTGCAGCCAAGGTTGAGAACCACTGACCTAAGGGCTCAAAAGTATGTATTTGGATTTTGTATATCATTCAGCTTTACTTGTTATGGTGGGAGGAACGTTCTTTGCAGCTTTCTACCTGGTACATCCTAAGTAAAAGTCTGAAACTGCTGCACATTTAGAACTTGTTATTTTTAGGACCTCGGTTTCAGTGAACTGAACAATTAACTAATTAAGGCTAGGCCCTCCCCCTTTTAAAGGGAATGTCTTTTTTTTTTTTTACAGTTTCCTTCAGAAAAAGATGGATTTATGCTTTTTATTTTCTCCTCAAAATACCCCTTAGTGCTGCTGTCATTATAGAACTATCTAAAATGACATGTTTTGACAACAGGCAGCTATTGTATTATTAAACTCACTCCCACATCACTCCATGACAGGGAGTTTACAAAGTGAAGCATGAACAGAGATGAAGAGTAATAAAAGGGAAATTCTCTAAGGCAGCGGTTCTCAACCTATGGGTCGCAACCCCATTGGCGGTCGAATGACCCTTTCACAGGGGTCACCTTAAGACCATCCTGCATATCAGATACTTACATTACGATTCATAACAGTAGCAACATTACAGTTATGAAGTAGCAACGAAAATAATTTTATGGTTGGGTCACAACATGAGGAACTGTATTTAAAGGGCCAGAAGGTTGAGAACCACTGCAAGGATATGTGGCTTGTATTAGAGCAGTGGTTCTCAACCTTTCTAATGCCGCGACTCTTTAATACAGTTCCTCATGCCGAAACCGGTTTGGCTCAGTGGATAGAGCGTCGGCCTGCGGACTGAAGGGTCCCAGGTTCGATTCCGGTCAAGGGCATGTACCTGGGTTGCAGGCACATCCCCAGTAGGAGATGTGCAGGAGGCAGCTGATCGATGTTTCTAACTCTCTATCTCTCTCCCTTCCTCTCTGTAAAAAATCAATAAAATACATTTAAAAAAAAAAATACAGTTCCTCATGTTGTGGTGACCCCCAATTTCATTGTTACAAATTGAACATAAAGCATAGTGATTAATCACAAAAACAATATGTAATTCTATATGTGTTTTCCGATGGTCTTAGGCGACCCCTGTGAAAGGATCGATCGACCCCCAAAGGGTCGTGACCCACAGGTTGAGAACCGCTGTATTAGAGGTATATAGGTTATATAGTGCACTCTTGAGCATTTTGACTGGTTTTAAATACTCAGAATATTCTTTAGTATACTGGAGATGGAGGTCTTTAACATTTTTCAGTTTTACTTTTCCACTGAAGTATATTATTAAAAAAAGTAATAAACAAGCTAAGTGGAAATAGGATTCGTTTGTTTTCCCTAAGGCTTTTTAAAAAAATCTAAAACTAGTGCTTGCTTCGGCAGCACTTATACTAAAATTGGAACGACACAGAAGATTAGCATGGCCCCTGGGCAAGGATGACACGCAAATTCGTTCAGTGTTCCATATTTTAAAAAAAATCTAAAGCTATTTTAAATCAGTGTGTGAGCATCATAGAGTTTACTTACTCACACCTAGATGGTATATGGCCTACTACATACCTAGGCTATCGTATAGCCTATTGCTTCCAGGCTGCAAACCCATACAGCCTGTTACTGTACTGAATATTGTAGGCCATTATACAGTGGTAAATATTTATGTATTTAAATATACCTAAACATAGAGAAGATACAGTAAAAATGTAGCATAAAGGGTAAAAAATGGTACAATCTGGTATATAAAGCACTTGCAATGAATGGAGCTTGCAGAACTGGAAGTTACTCTGGTGATTCAGAGAGTGAGCAGTGAGGGAATGTGAAGGCTTAGGACATCACTGTACACTGCTGTAGACTTTATAAACACTGTATACTTAGGCTATAAACTTGAAAACATTTCTTCAATAATAAATATTAGTTTACTATAACATTTTTACTTTATAAGCTTTTTAGGTTTTTAACTTATTAGCTCTTTTGTAGTAACACTTAGCTTAAAAACAAATACATTTGTTAAGCAGGTTGTTTGTTTATACCAGCATCACCACAAATATATGGGTAACATACTGAGCGAGGACGTTATGATGGCTATTATGTCACTAGGTGATGGGAATTTTTCAGCTCTTTTATAATCTTGAAGGATCATGTATATGCAGTTCATACATGCAGCCTGTCGTTGACTGAAACATTGTTATGCCACCCATGACTGGACTCCATTTCTCTTAAAGTCCCAGTTCCCAAGAACCTGTCGATTATGTTAAGTGAGGACTTCTGTACTTCTGGGTAATTCTGTTGGTTATACTGATCAGCACTGGTACATTGTGGGAGGGAACAACACAGAAGTGTGACTACCAGGACATAGGGATGGTTGGGGGCCATCTTGGAGGCTGATTCCCACAGCCTGTCCTCTAGCACCTAGTGACTCCCTCCCTCCCAAAGCACACAGAAGTCTACACCCATTACAGCATCAGCGCCGGAGGCAGATGAGACTGGGCGTGTGTAATTCTTAGTACAGCTCTCACGTACATTTCCTCCTGATCTGTAGGCCTGTGAACCAAAGGCACGTTATTGCCCCTCCGCAAACCCAATACACAGTGGTGGGATAGACAGGATGACTCTGGTCAGAAAGACTGAAAATGAATGGCACACAGAAGTTACTGCCCGTGAGCAGTTCTGAAGCCCAGGTGGGCAAGTATTAGAAATTCCTCAACTAGAACTCAGTCCTACTCCCTGCCAGGAAATTACGCTCCAGTGGT